CAGAATTTGGACATGTCATGGCTTAAAAACTTGGTAAAATTAATGCCTGATCGCATTGAGGATGTCATCGAAGACAAAGGTAAGAAGACAGAGCATCAAATAGATAATTCCTGCTAATGAAATCTCTAAAAGCGCATGAACTTCACGCTGCTACGTACTTTTGTCCAGGGTCAGAGTGATGGTCGCTTTTTGATCTCCGCAACGAAAAATTGTGTGCGAAAAAAAATGATATGCTCCGGAAGCTCTTTGTCTCAATAGCGTTTCTACACGGTTTTGGGGTATTTCGCTGAAAGTTGACATAAAACTTTGAGAACTAGTCATGGCTACATATTTTTGGCCAGCACTGTACCTTCGGCTCGGAGTGATGCACGATATCTAAAATTGCTATCATCTCAAAGCAAGCTTGTCCACTATATCGATAATAGCTAAACCATGTGCGCGACGCATATGGCTGTAGCTGTAATATCTTTTTTCAACGCTTGAGTCATCACCGGCGCTAACCATCCGTGCCAAAAAAACGCTTAGATAACTTTGTCCAGTAGATCCGTAAAACGCGTGGTTGTGATGTCTTGGCCTGTCAAAATCTCCTTCGTGGATGCTGTAGATGGTATAGCCAGAAGGATTGTGCGGTGTGTCAGCGGACATCCGCTTACCGAGATCATGGTATGTAAACTTGGTCGTCTCGACTTTGCAGTATTGGCCTGATTAAATCTGCTGGCTTAGGAGCCTTACCTCCATTTTCTACCTGGTCTATGAGAGTTGGCGCGTCTTTCAGGCTTATATGTGGGATGAAGTTCTAGAGTACCACGCTCTTCGGGACTTACAGATCACAATTCGCTGATTCTGTCAAGGAACGAGGGGGGGGCTGCCCCAATATGTCAGATTGCTACCATGACCGAGATTATAACCCGAAGAACTGCGTAGAAGACCTATTGTATATCTTTCAATCAACCGGTTCCATCAGACATGATCCTGATTTTCCACTTGCTCGGTCTCCAAGGCTTCACCGACTCTGCAGCGGAGGGTGTCGAAAGAATAGCAACCCCTCCCATTTTGATCTCTTTCACGCAACTCTCAGTTATGGTGTCTATGCTACCTCTACACCATTTTTGTCAAAAGTTGGACGAATTCTTACGAGTACAAATTGCGTATGTTACACTTGCCCGCACCATGCCCTAAGCCATCGCTTTCCCGTTCCAGCTCATAAACTACTGATATAAGGGAGTTTTTCGTATAAAATAGCTGTCACTCCGCCTATTTCGCTTTTTATACAAATCATGCGTGTCCTAGAAAGTATGTGTTCCGCCCAAACACCGGTAGCCGTACGTTGTTTTGTTAACGCTGGGCTGCCGCTCGCCATCGACTGCTCTAAATTTAAGTGAGGATTCGCAGTTTCCTCTCACGATCGATTTGCACGTTAGAATTGCTAGGAGCTTCCATGCAAGCCAAAGCCAGCACCATTTCCTACTTACAACCAAGGCTGTCCCAGTCGAAAGGCCATCGAAAAGGCAGACACTCTACCGCAAACTACTCCGCAATGTGCCCGATTATCGTGTAATCTCCTTCGTAAGTTGATCGATTCAGGATAAAACCCCAATCAACAAGCCATTGCCGCGTATGTCTGTCGCTTGTTCCGCCTCAGTATGTTTTAAACCATCTCTGCAGGTAACTTCACTACCAAAAAGCCGCTTTTTGATAATTTCTTGCTTACTATCCATTGAACCTCTTTTTCACTATGTCAAGCAACTGGTCTGGTTTATGCTACGTTGCCCGAAAAAAGTCATCAATGCCACTAGGTTCAAGTGGATGCGACGCTCAAATGGACGGACAGGATGTCTCGTGCTGCTAACAATGCTCCGGTCATCCATGTCGCTTGACATATATTGAGGCTCGTCATCCCTTCCACCCTTTTTACTGCACCAGCTCGATCTTGTGACGCATTTGCCCTCGCGTGATATCACGAGTCTTCCTGCCTATCAGCCAAGGGCAAAAGGGAAACGCAAGATGCATGTTTCATACTACACGAGATTACGAATCTTCGAGCACTAAAGACCTACTCGGCAACTAATGCATCTTTTGACCTTCCAACTGTTTGACTGTGTTCTTTTTAACAGGAGTTGTCAAACAAACTTTTTTTGGCTGAAGACTGCTGTTAAATTCTGCGGTATTTTGTGTTCGGTAGACTGTTGGTGCGGCTGGGTACTGCCCTATGCTCACCATTCGCGTGTTGCTATCGCTGTGACTACAAGACTTGCAAATTCTATTTGTCTCACCTTACTCGTGCTGTTGCTGCAATACCACCGTTCCGTCGCATGAGAACTATTCGTTCAATTGAAGTCACGTTTCTTCTTCTGTTCCACGGTGTCGCGCTTCCCCTATAATCCGGATGCATAAAATCTGACAGGAGGTAGGACATCATTTTTCCGATGCGAGTCGCGTACCTCATTATGATTAGACACTGACCGGTCTGCACGGGCAGATTTAGTCATCTTTACACCCAGTTGCGTCGCGTTTGGTTGGCATATACAACAGCTGTAGAGTTGCTGTTTGATCGTATCGTACGCTTATACAAACATTTTGTAAAGCATAATATTCATAAGCTTACTGTTCTCCCAGTTATACCCCGGGAGAATGTTATATTGGCCGAATGGACAGCGCGGTCGCTTGTTTCTTCAAAACCACTTTTTTGTCAGTCTCGTATATCCATATCTTCTCACCTCCGCTGCCCATAAAGCAGCCTTTTCACGCAAATAAAATAACGAATTACTCATCCATTCAGGAAGCCGGTCCATCGAATGTTGATACTTGCGCAAGATCATGGTCGACGATTGATTACTCAAGACGTACTGTCTACCTGTACCCTCCTGACCAGCAGACTTTGTTTGTCGAACATTCTTGCTTCAACTGTCGCATTAATTTTTTGCAGAGTGGTCAGAAAATTCGGCGGCCTTGCTATCTTTAGGTGCGTTTTCGCCCTTTCATTCTTGGTTGCGCTTTATCTGTCAATATGTACCAAATCGTATGAGTTTACAGGTAGCGCTTAAGAAGGGTTCAGTCATGAGACACTAAGAGTATATTTTCTGCAGTGTAAAATGCTCGGCTGTGATGCATCCAAAACTCACTTACATACTAGCGATGTAGTTCTCTCTCTTTTTTTGCCAAATAAAGGGAGATCAATCCCACATTTTTTTTAGTCGAGCGTACTATCATCTACAATCTAGAACTCTGGTGAACTCAATCAGTTTTTTCGTAAGCGCTCGATTATAAATATCCATTGCAAGTTCACATTATGTACCATGAACAGTTTGCGAGCTGATACCGTAAAACTCCCCCTCAACTTTCTCTCAATGCAAGTGTCACTGCACTTGCATAGGCGAATGAGCTGCGGTGCTGGTAGTGCCTAATTGAGGCGGTCAGCTAACTTTTGGGTGGATGGTAGGTGAATTAGCTGGATGGTGCCTTGCTCAACATGATATCCTACAAAATGCGCTTTGCGATCAATGTGTTTTGCGCGAGGCATGTATTCCTGGCTTGTTGTGACACTGATTGTCGATTTGTTGTCCAGCTGCACAGCCGTGGCGGTTTTACAAGCGATTCCCATTACCTTGAGTAAGTGGCGAGTCCAAACAATTCCAGAGTTGCCGTTTCCAATACCACGTATTCTGTTCCGGCAGACGATATAGCCAACAAGTTTTGAAGTTTGCTATTGTAGACCACAATGCCACTATCACCAACCATACACTCTCTATTTTAGTAAATATTAGTTATTTATTTTATATATATATTTATAAGTTTGTTTAATTTTTTGTAATTGATTTAGTTTATATTTTTGAAAAAAACTTGATTTTTTATTTAAGTTTAAGCATACTTTTTTATAAAATTAAATTAAGCATCAGTAGCACGTAGACCGTCGCGTTTGTTTGTCGCCCCCCAATTTGCGTCGCAATACGCTCCCACTTAAATCTGATGACTTTCACATATTGCAGTCGATATATAACATCCCACGTGTGGTTAGAGTATGAGCTCGGATCTACGTTGCCATAGCTTCGTATCATTGGTTTACTTCTGTTGACACTAGTATTTCTTGACAGGTTGAAAATTCATCGGTTGCTGACAATGCAATCTCGTACGTTGGCGTTTTGAGCCAGGTTTATTCGCTTAACTATTCATTGATGATCCATCTGTAAGTAGGGATAAATCAACAACAACTTCTTGGTAATCACTATCCATGAGCAAACGATTTGCTGGCTCGGACATTAGCTGTGGTCTAGTCGATCAATCGTCAAATATAATTTGATCGCCGTCCTGGCAGCGGTGTCGATACTTCACGCTTGCACTTGACCAACTGCGATCCAGCGCAACACGATGCGGACTGGACACGTACTCTCTGAGGCGAATATTTGGTTGTGTCAAAAATTAGTCATCCTGTCATCAGAGCTTGCGCTTGCTTGAATATCTCGCTATCCCCGCACAATCGGAACAACTTGACGGAATATGGGCTCTAGACGCATCGACCTTCATCATTTCGGAGTTGGACTTCATCGTCATCAACCTCCAGTATCACTCCTTTTGAAGTTTTGGGATTGGTAGAAGAAATTCTTGCGACCTTGTCGCCATCGTCATCATCGTTTACCGAGCTTTGAGGTGTGTGGTGCTTAATATCTACTACAACTCGTACCTGGAACATAACCACTCGTCATACTAAAAGACCTTATCGTTTCCAGGCACCAAAAGGCTTGGATGTCTCTGCAGGACTCAGACATATGCAGCCGTCAGCTTTAAAGTCTCATTTCTGTTCAGCAGCCACTTGGATCTTTGTACAGGACGTCACTCGTCGCCGAAAACACCACTTCGTCTCCACCTTTCGATACCTTCACACCTGGACAGTAATCCGCTTGTGTCCGCTCTGCCTACACTTGTAAAATTTCCCGTGAAAGCCAATATTACCACGTTTGGCTCCCAGTTTCCAATGCTTCTTCTCCTCTCACCCACGACTCCCTTTGCCACGTCTTGCTCCAGTGCGGTGGTTGAAAGCCTTGAAAGCAGTTTCTTTCTCTACCGCCTCCGTATCGTGCCGCATTTCCGGCGAAGCATTTCCTTGGCATCAGATACTGTCACGTTGATGCGCGCTTCGATATTACGCATCATGGCGTCATACTCGGATGACAGTCTTCCTAGTAAGAGCACCAGCTTTTTATCATCGACCACATCATCACCTGCTACACTTATCTAAGCTTAAGGCAAAGTTCATCAAACTTCAGCATGTGATCCATGAGATTTGCACCGCTCTGCATCTCAAACTCGTTAACTGCTTGCAAAGTTGCACTCTGTTGTGGAGATTCCTCTTAGCGAGAAATGTCTCGAGCAGCTCCCAGGCTTCCATAGCCGTCGTGCACTCTCTCGAACCATAGATTGGTAAGCTGGGGAGAGTATTGTGACTAGCACAGCCAGAGCCTTCATATCTGCGGCCTTCCACTGCGATGTATCCCGTTGCATTGCCGACCCTGGCCCAAGAACGGCAAGCTGATGCCTTGCATTTACTAAGACTTTGGCCCAGCAAGACCTTCCTGAGCAGAGTCATTTGGGCATTAAACTTCGAGATGAAATAATTGTCGTCCGTGAGAATATCGTTCGGTCCTGGCGTTTTTGCGATCATCATCAATCTGTTACAGTGCCAAGAAGATCGAATACACCTTCTAGTCTAGCATCAACTTTTAGAACCCTGGTAAACTTGACCGGTTCTTCGTAAACTTTCGATGATCATCATCCACTTTAAGTTACTTTGTGTACCATACACAATATGTGACTCGATACTGCAACACACATAAGCATTTGCATATTCAAGTGGGATATTTGACTTTTAATTTTGACGAAAGTCAATATATATGAATTTTGTAATATATCAATATTGATATGCCAAGTATTGTCAATATCATTCCGAAGTTGTCGAATGACCATCCCCGAAGTAGATTACGCTAGTCCCAATGCATCGGAACAGCTGCGTCTAGCCTGCACTACCGTCGGCTTTTTCTATCTTGTCAATCATGGCATTTCTGATGCGCTTATAGCACAAGTGTATCAAGAGATGACTTTGTTTTTTAGTCAGCCATTAGAAGACAAGCGATTGGTGCTGGCCAACAAGTACATGAGGGGATACACCCTAATGAGCGAAGAAACCTTAAATCCATCCGTACAAATTAAAGGAGACACAAAAGAGGGCTATTACATCTGTCGACACGTGCCTTTAGACAGTGATGAGATGAAGCTGCCACTTCATGGACCCAATATCTTTCCAAATAAAGCAAAGTTTCCTACTTTTCAAGAAACCATGGAAACATATTATGCAGCTATGTGCCAGCTAGCCTTTAATGTGGCCAGACTTTTTGCTGAAGCAGCAGGAGAAAAAGGTAAGTTTGATGGTCTAGGGATGTTCGACAAGCCGATGGCAGCATTGAGATTGCTGCACTATTCTCCGGAAAAAGCAGACGTGAACAAGGGAATATTTGGAGCTGGAGCGCACACAGATTATGGACTTGTAACATTGTTGTCAACAGATATGACCGGAGGGCTGCAAATCTTGCATGAGGAAAAGTGGATGGATGTTCCACCTCGGAGAGACGCTTTTGTCGTGAATATTGGAGACATGGCTGAAAGATTCACTAATGGAAAATTCAAGTCGACGCGGCACCGGGTTGTTAATGTGTCAGGAAAAGATCGCTATTCAGTTCCATTTTTTTATGATCCAAATTTTACATGTCAAGTAGAGTGTTTTCCAAGTTGTGTGACTGACAAGAATCCGGCTAGGTATCCGCCAACAACAAGCGGTCAGCATCTTTTGGATATGTACAAGCAAACTTATGCTGCGTTCGGGAATTGTCAGTGAGCCTAAGTAGACGAGTATTAGTAGATCAATGTCATTTATGTATTGATATGTGACTTTTCTTGTTGCCTTCGTATTTATATCGTTTCGGAGCAGATCGTGACAGCTATACCGTCGCCCATTTTAGACTCTTGCACCGGTCATGTTTGTAATACATCATTTTCAAACGCATTCTGCGCTCAATCTTTCATTGCTTTTAAATGCGTACAGAGCACCTTACTGCAAAATCATTGATTGGAAGCTTCGCCAAAGTGGACTTGAAGTTACCGAAATATTTGCATTCTCGACAAAACTAATGATAAACTCACGTTATTCACATCGCAGCACAAAATGCCCTTTGTAGCAAACCTTTTGCTTGTAAAATTTTAAGTGTCATCCGCTATTCCAAATCCACATGCATGATAGGAAGTTTTCACAGCTTCCATTTCGATTCAATTGATTTAGATCAGGCTTCTTAAACTAATATTCTGTTGTTCAAATTTAACAGACAACGAGATTCTAGCGCTATAGATACGCGAGATTCTCGATCATAAGTTTTGATTTACTCGTGAAGAACTTCGCATTCGTCACTATTTTGACAAAAGTGATCTATCATACATTAAAATGCATCAGTGATTGAATGCTGATCGAGTCCACCCATCAAAACATGCAAAAAGTGCTCTACAGACGAGATACCCATTTTTCTAATTTAATGTTTTCGAACCTTAAACTTACGAGCATCTTCTTAATATAATGTAATATCAGGAAAAAGGTTTTAAATCTAATATGGAATTTTATACATAATCGCACGTAATTCATGGCCGCGACGCTGTTGTATCGGCTGCAGCGCATTGCGTCGCCCACGTCACGAATTCAAAGCCCCATTGCATTTCAACAGTCACTACACATCCGTTTGTTATCATCTGGGCTCGAAAATCGCGGCTTTTTGGATGTGCTTCGATTCAAAACCATCCAACCGTTGAATGGTCAATTGAAACCCCAGGACTTCCGCTGTAAGGCAGCTTTGGTAGTCAATACAGCCTCCAAGTGCAGTCATGCAAGCCAGCTGAAACAACTTCAGACATTGCACGAAAAGTACAGTGAACAAGGTCTTATAGTGGTAGCCGTGCCCTCCAATGACTTTGCGGGTCAAGAGCCTGGAAGTATTGACGATATTCTGAAACGATACATGGAATTTGGCGTCACCTTTGCCATTGCAGAGAAGACATCGGTGAAAGGGGACAACGCTCATCCGTTTTTCAGGAAAATTGCAGATAAATACGGCGCATCAGTAGCTCCAACGTGGAATTTTGACAAGTTTCTAGTAGATCATAGAGGCGAGATGATAGCTGTGTTTCCAAATGATACGGAACCATTGATAGATGAGGTCGTCGCAGAGATTGAAGAAGTATTGGCGGATTTGCCACGAGATTTGACGTTTGGCGAGAAAATAATTGATGGAAACGAGTCTTCTCGACATGAGATGAATGAGGAAGATGCCGAAGACAAGGATAAGTGAAGATGATAGTCATTCTTTACTTTTTACGTAGTTGGTACTTGAAAATCACATACACTTTTCGCTGTTTTTCGTAAATTTTCAAGACAATCAGTAGTTCTACATTGTAAAAATTAAATGAGAAAATTAGCTTAATCACCTATTTTTTTGACAGGAATAATATGGATACTAGTGGTGACGACGGCGGTCCGACTTCCCCGTCTAGCTCTGGACGTGTCGATCTTTCAGTATCTGCTCCAGCAGCATCTTCAGCACCATCATCTGCAATGAATGGAGCATCTTCACTTGTAAATGGCCTTGAAGATAGTGAGAATGACAGCGACGGTGGGGACCGGAAGCGCCGACGTTTGCGACGTGGAGATGCTCGACCAAATCCAACCACGTCAACTGATAATGTAAATGAAAATGAGACAGATGATGTCAGTGAGTTTGTTGTGGATGACATGGAGCAGGAGGAAGATGAAAGAGAGGATGACTATGGAGAACAGGCGGAAGAGCTGGACGAAGAGATTATTGATGAACTTGATATTCAAGAGCGCGAGCGACAATACTTTAGTGAAGACGATTTGGATGATGATATAGATGGTGAAGACCTTGGCGAGAATGCAGAGATGTAAAGTGTTGAACATGAGGTTGATAACGAAAGAGATCATGATATAAATTGTTTGTTTCGATTATATAGGGACTATCGCAAGATGGAGACGCTAGATCGTTATGATACGACAATGCTGGATTCAAGGCAGTATGATGACATGGATATCGATACGAGACGAGCAGTAGAAGAAGAACTTAATCGACGAGATGCACGTCAAGGTCGTATTGCTCAAGCATTTTTAGAAGATCAAGAGATGGAGCATGATGATGCACATCGGAGACGATTTCAACGACGAGTTGAAGGAGATGAAGGATTTGGTGAAATGAAAGGAACACTTGACGATGACGAAGAGCTGATTAATCTTGAACACTTTGATGTACCATTACGAGAGTGGATTGCAACCGAGACCCCACGAAATGAAATCAAACGACGATTTCGTAATTTTCTCAAAACGTTTTCAGATGGAAAGGGAAAAATTGTGTACTATGAAAAAATCGTTCAAATGGCTCAACGGAACGAACAATCACTGGAAATTGAAATTGGGGATGTTATTCATAGTATGTCGATGGTTGCAGCGTGGATTGTAGAAGCTCCGAAGGATATGTTAGCAATCTTGGACGAAGTGGCTCAAGAAGTTGTTTTGTCATTGTTTCCGTATTACTCGACAATCCATCAGCAGATTTACGTGCGTATCTTAGATTTGCCAGGTACAGAGCGACTTCGTGATCTACGAACGGCACATTTAAACTTTTTGATTAAAGTTACAGGTGTTGTGACTCGACGAACGTCTGTGTTTCCACAGCTTCAGCTGATTAAACTCAACTGTCCTGGTTGCGGTGCTGTATTAGGACCGTTTACACAACAGAGTCAGAAAGAAGTAAAGCTTAATGCTTGTCCAGAGTGTCAATTTCGAGGTCATTTTCCTGTCAATAGCGAGCAGACAGTTTATCGCAACTTTCAAAAGATTACATTGCAAGAATCGCCTGGTAGTGTACCACCAGGTCGCGTACCACGCTCCAAGGACGTTGTATTGGTTGGAGACCTGATTGATAAAGCACGACCTGGTGACGAAATTGCCGTGACGGGTATCTACACAAATACACCCGATCCGACGCTTAATTTGCGGGATGGATTTCCTGTTTTTCGTACAGTAATTGAAGCCAATCATGTCGAGCGGCGTGCCGATGTTCTAGGCAGCCAATTATTGACTGCTGACGATAAGAAGCATATACTGCGTCTTGCTAAGCAGCCGGATATCGCGCAACGCATCATTAATAGTATTGCGCCGTCCATCTACGGTCATCAACAGGTTAAAACGGCGCTCGCGCTTGCACTTTTTGGGGGAAAACCTAAATTTATTAAAAACTCGCGCGTACGTGGCGATCTGAACGTGCTTCTCGTGGGCGATCCGGGTACAGCCAAGTCTCAGTTTCTCAAATTTGCCAAGCAAACAGC